TGAATGTCGAAAAAAAAGAAATTATAAAAATATATTATAATGATATAAATAATATTAACAGTAATAATAAATAATAGTAAATAATTAAATAATAATAGAAATAAATCAGGCGAAAGATTTTTAAAAATTGCAAAAGACAAATGTCACTCATGTTCGTTCAATTCATTTTCTAGAGTTCAATTCATTTTCTTTGCTAACGTGATATGTACTTTTATCTCTATGTGTTATTCTGATCTTTGAAAATATCTATTTTATAATTTAGCAATTTAATGAATCCAAATGTCGGCACAGAGAAGTTTCGATAAGCGACACTTTTTCCCCGGAGGGAGAGGACAGGCACGCGTGAACTTTCATGCATTTTTAGCTTCCCACGATATCCCTCGAGTATCGTTACATGTTCTGTTTAGTATTTTCGGTGAAAACACTTGAACGTTTTTAGGTCAACGCACTCGAGCTTAATTCGCCTCGGGATAATTCCAGCAGGCGCAATTTCTATTTTCCATTTTGTCACGCAAGAAACGATCAGAAATATCTAAAAGGGAATGTGATTGATTTTCGTAATTGCATTTTATTTGCTCGTACGTGATAAAACACAATTCAGGAATTGTTACTTGCAAAAATCAAAACGAAACAATTCATTTTTATTTTTTTTATTATTTTTGTATTTTATAAAGACTCCTGAAAGCTACGGTTTTTACCAACCAAATAATTATAAGATTGATTGATCAAAGGTTGTGGCCTTTTTTCCCCCGCAATGATGTAGTGACTTTTGCAGTGATAACTAAAGAAATAATATAATGAATTTTATTTTATTTTTATTTATTAGAGATCAAAATAATTTTGTATCATGGCTATTTGTACCAATACAAGTCAAAATGATTGGTACTTGTCAAAGTGTGAAAGTGTCCTACAATCTGTTTACCGAGCCCGAATTAATTAGTTTCGTACAACTTCTCACACGCTTTTACAATTTACACCGCTATTGTTCAATACGATGGTGATAATTATCAGGAAATTTCTTTACTAACTGACGACCATATGCTCGAACGTATAATATCTTGCACGGAATTACAAGCTTCTCGAGTTTTGGGTAAAAAAATTTGGAATTTTGTATGCTTTCATATTTATGTAACAGAGAATGGGGACCGAACTTCTTTTCCAACACCATGAAACGATTCCACCGAAATATTGAGATTTATCCGCTTTGATAAATTTGCTTTGATACGCATCTGTATGGGATAAGTTTATTCAAAATAGTCAGAGTTGGTGCAAATGTTACAAACAACTGTTTCCATCTAAAGCCAGATGCAGATTTATTCAATATTTGAGTAAACCTGACAAATATGGTATTAACTACATAACAAATGGGATTTCTATTGTAAGAAAGTAATAAATCAATAAATATAAAAATATTCTATCATTACGTTTTTTTTTTTTTAAGTCATTTTGATTGGTTTTTGGTAGAAATAGGTTCGTCTTAACTGTCGGTAGTGTTCTAGTGTTAACTAGATGCTGAACTAAGATTGTCCGAAATGTTAGTCCAGTAAGACTCCTCCAGTGTACTGTAAATACGCGATGTCTCTGGAGAGAAGTGACGACAGCCGAACAAATTTTCCAAGATTCCTCCGAGCTTGGTTATCTGTCAATACTGGTCAGATCGTTTCCAGACTTTGCGAGGCAAGAGTCTTGGCTTCGTGGCACGGAAACTAATTGTGGCCTAACTCTGGAAAGCTGCGGAACTTGGAAGGCTAGTTTCGAACCGTGTGAAAATGGAAAATACTGCAACATATTGGACACGTGATTTCTTACAAGGATCATTACCGAAATCACCACGTTACTAGCGAGCAATAAATAGTAATAAAATTCGTCGATATTGTAAATGGACCATAAACGTGCCATTCTGTTCGACCTCTCCAAGCTGCAGAGTCGAAGTTTATTTCAACAACGCCTACAGTTGACAGTGTATGCCCAACTTCGATCGCTACCAATCTCTATTCTAATGAATGAAATTTCGTTTTTGTCAGGGCGAGTGCCGTCAAATGGGATGCGACCGTGTATTAGGATCGGAGAAAGCGTTGGACGTGTGCGGAGTGTGCGACGGTGACAATTCGAGCTGCGAGAATGTCATCAGCAAGTTTCAGCGGAAGCTTCGACGAGGTCAGTCCAGTCACCGTTTAAATTGAGTTATTAGAAGTAGGCGATGAAGTTTCCGCCAGAGTCAGATAGCAAGCGCAGAGCGATGGAACGCCCCTAATTAGTTTAAACGGAGAGAAATGGGCGAGAGTTGCCGTTAGCGTTGCTGCTGCAATTCCCCCCCGAAGGGACGAAACTTCTCGTTCTTCGGTTTTTCTTCGAATCCTCCGCGAGACGAGCAGCGAAAATCTTCAATAATCGTCGTGCTATTGTATCCTCAATACAGAGGTATTATTAGGTTGATTTATTTAACACTCGACTGTCCCTTCTGAGGGGACATCATACTTAAATCCTCTTTTTGAGACAATAATTCAATTCGGAGGATATTATTTTCCCACA